ATTGTTCTAAGAAAAAATTTCAAAATGCTAACCACGTCTCAGTAACCATAGCAAAATAACAACACACAAAAATAACCTCCGAGCTATCTTATGATTGAATTTTTTTGTATATATCATATGTGAGGTCTGAAATCTCTTTGTACTTCTGTTATCTGAGATGAAAGGAGAAAAAGGCTTCATCAGTGATGAGGGCATGGCATGACTGCTTAGCTGTATTATTAAAATAATAGAATGAGCTCTGGCTAATTCAGCAGAAAGAGTAGCAAGGATTACAGTTGTAAGCCACTAGCGCCCGGCAGAAAGGGAACTTATTATGAAAGCAGAAGAAGAAAATTTGGGAGGGCATTCACAATTCTCCTCCTCCTAAGGTTATGTTGTTTATGTACTTAATATTTAAATATTGTTTTACAGAACATAAGTCGACTTCTGAGGGCAGCTTAATCTATATTATTTTAGCTGTCATCCCAGTGCCTAGATAGTGTCATGCTTAGTAGGCACTGAGTAAATGTTTATTGTTTAAAGAAATAACCAGGGCTGGGAAGGTGGCTCAGTGGCAGAGTGCTTGCCTTGTATGCATGAGGCCCTGGGTTCGAGTCTCAGCACCACATAAGCAGAAAAAGCCAGAAGTGCTGCTGTGGCTCAAGTGGTAGAGTCTTGAGCTGAAGAGCTCAGGGACAGCACCCAGGCCCCATGATCGACAAAAAAAAAGAAAAGAAAAGAAATAACCAGACTAACAGTATGTTCATGAATATCAGTGATAACGTGGAGAAAAAAAAATGGAATAATAATATAAAATAGCCTGGCACTGTCAATTTACACCTGTAATCCTAGCTACTCAGGATGCTGGGTATCAGAGGAACTTGGTTTAAGGCCATCCTTGTCAGGAAAGACCATAAGAATCTTCAGTTAGCAACCAAAAAAAAAAAAAGGTGGAAGTGGAGCTGTGGTTTGAATGGTAGAGTACTAGCCTTGAGCAACAAATCTCAGGGACAGTACCCAGGCCTTGAGTGCAAGCCCCAGAACTCCTCCCCCCCCCCCACACACACACATACAACAACAACAACAATTATAATGAGATATTAAGATGTTTCTATTTTAGAAAATTTGGCAGAATTTAAGAATGTATCAAATACTTAAATTTTCTTTCTCTTATGAATTTTTTGTGTGTGGAGCACTAGGTATCAAACCCATAGCCTTGCTCATGCTAGGCAGTCTAGAGAAACATTGATTAAGTGCTTGTTGAATAACGACTTTTACCCTAAGCCTCTTTACTTGTGTTCTTGGCTTAAAGGAATATCCACAGTCATCTCTCAGGTGTGGATGCCCTCAATTCTGTACTCTCTGTGGGAAAGCAGTGGATCTAGGGGCCTATTGAATCATGAGTGTCAGCTGTTAAGAAACTGGTATTCCTCAATGTTCCCCTCCATTCTAAAAACCTTTTTTAAGGTTAAAAATATCTGTGTAGTGGTCATTCATTAATTATACTAAACAGTAATTTGATAGACTCTTATCATGCTGAGACTACCTATATGTATTTTCAACTGCAAGGTGGTGCAGATGTTTGTGAAAGTAAACTTTGTGATTATATTTAAAATTTGCTGTTGTAATAAGTATAAATAAACACTGTAAAAATATTTCAAATGGGAAAGAATACCCTTCAGAATGGGAACTGAAGAGTATTAACTACTGGACATTCTACTTTTTATTTTGACTAAGTAGCTAGAAGAAAATACTACTTCTCTTAGTAGCTTCCAAATGCCGCACTGATTTTTTTTATACTTAAAAAAAAATTTTTAAGCTAGGCACTGGTATCTTACACCTGTAATCCTTGCTACTCAGGTAGCTGAGATCTGAGGATTGTGGTTCAAAGCAAGTCCAAGAAAGATGAAAGTATCATGGACTTTTTCTATAAAAACTACCAAAAAAGCCAGAAATGAGCTGTGGTTCAAATGGTAGATTACTAGCCTTGAGCAAAAGAAACTCAGGGACAGTGTCCAGGCTGGCCATCCAGATTGCCAGAGGGAAGCCCAGATAATTTGTAGATGGAAATTACTGTAAGACTGTAGTGACAGTTTCTGAAGGTGAAGGAATAGATTAAGATGAATTGTATATCTCTTGGTGTAAATATTTAAAGCATTTTATTTTGAAAAGTTTCTATCAAATAGTCAGAAAAAGTAATAAAATGAGCCCTATTCCCAAATTCAGTAATTATTTTTATACTTTTTCCTTATGTTCCCTACCATTTGCTCTTGAAGTGTTCTGTTTATTGTTTATTTTTTATTTTTATTTATTTATTTTATCCCTGAGCTCTTCAGCTCAAGGATAATGCTCTACCGCTTGAGCTATTGCGCCACTTCCTGTTGGACTTTCCTGCCCGGGCTGGCTTTGAACCTCGATCTTCATATCTCAGTCTCCTGAGTAGCTAGGATTACAGGCTTGAGCCACTGGTGCCCAGCTATTTTATTTTTTAATGGCACAGGAATTTGAAATCAGGGTCTCATGCTTGCTAGGCAGGCACTCTAGTACTTGAGCCATGCCTCTAGTCCTGTTTTAGGTTATTGAGACAGGTGCACATTTTGTAGCTCAGACTGTCCTTTAACATATTCTTGCCTCTCACACTGACTAACTTGCATTTTTACATATATGAATATTAAATGGAAGTAATGTTGATTAAAGCAAAAGCATCTAATCATTATTTGTTAAATTTCAGACTGAATGACTTAGCCAAGCAAAAATAACCAATGTATCCATGTGTCACTATTTTCTAACAAGTGTAAATCATTTCACAGATCCTTTTAACAAACAGTATTTCATCTTTGAGAGAGCATTTATCTAATCATTAGCAAAATACTGCATTCAAAATATTTTAAGGTACTGAAATAAATGTATATATACCACATTATTGGTACACTGAAATATCATCAGAAGTTTACTGAGAAATATATAAAATAAGATTCTTTAGTAGTACAGAGTAATTTAATCAGTAAATCTAAATTTGTAACATTAGGAATGTATTTCTATATATCATCCTAATTCTGTTCTTATCTTGTCTTTTTTCTTTTTGCTGCTGATCCTCAGGCTTGAACTCAGGGCCCGGGCACTGTCTCTGAGCTTTTTTGCTCCAGGCTAGCACTCTGTCACTTGAACCACAGCTTTACTTATGGCTTTTTGGTGCTTAATTGTAGGTAAGAGTCTCATGGACTTTCCTGGCTGGCCTGGCTTTGAACCACATCCTCAGATCTTAACCCCCTGAATAGTTACAATTATAGGTATGAGCAACTGGCACCTGACCATCCTAGTTATTTCCAAGAGACTGATTGATAACTGTTTTGAAGCAGTTGCTTAGGTAAAATTGCATTTTATACCTAAGATATTTACTTACTTTCAAGTTTTCTTCCCTTAAAAATGTATATTTTTCAAAGTTAATCTGCATTAAGTATTCTATACATTTAATAACAATTGTACATGTAGTTGAAATATTTTGAAGCAGCTCCAAATATAATATTTTGTCATATTTCAATAAGCTATAAAATAGTTGACTTATATAACCATACTGTTACCTAAAAGTTCTACAACTCCTTATAAAGAATTATATACTACTTTAAATATATTCAGATTAACCTTACTGTTTTCACTGTCTACAAAACAACAACAATAAGCAAGGCAGATGTTTGAATATGGGATTGTAGAATTTCTGCTCTCTCATAGTAAGAATACATCAGAATATTACTGGTTGTAGAAAAAAAAATCAGAGCTTTTATGGCCTCCATACAGTTTCACTCTTATACACTCCTTTTTTCTCAAGTCTCCCATGGGAAAAGTCATTTTTACATGATACAGAAACCAGAAACAAATGAGAAAATGGAAAAAAGCCAATTAGAAGGTATTTGAGTTCTTGTTTTGTGTCAGTTGCTGTAGGTCCTGTGTGGGACTGAAAGAAATATATATGACTCCTACCCGCAAGTGGCTTACAGGTTAGCTGAGTGGACAAGCCTTCTTAAACTTACTAATACAGAAATAAAATGTGTTTCATATTTCCTGTGTATAATGGTATCTTATACAGTTTATTCTTAACTACAGTGTTGCAGAGATTTCTCTAAATCTGAATAGGCATTATCAGAGATAAACAAGCGTGAGCAGTCATAGGTTGTTTTTTCTCATGTGGGAGGAAGTGGAAAAGCTAATGGTACTCCTCCTTCCTGTGAGCACAAAATGGAAAGAAACTCTGTCTGCCTTAAACGTCATTCTGGTTTCCAAATTAATGTATTTTACATGATTTGCATTTTAGTACAAAGTAACATTATTAGTTATATATTACTACCTGACAAATTATGACATGTAGTAATATAAACTTCTTATCCCAACAGGCTTTATAGGCAAAGCTGAGCTTTAGTCAGTGTGTGTTTTGAGCTTTGTCTAGATTCAAGGGCCATGCTCAGAATCATACAACATAAAAAGCAGTAAAAGTCATAGCATCTGCAATAGCAGAGTTTACGTTGAAATCATAGGTCCTAGTTGTGTATTACATATCACTTGTTTCACCAAGAATGGCTAGAGACTAGAAAATTTCAGATGGAAGCCCAGATAGATGGAATGAAACCTGTTAGCCACCAACTAGAACCAGGCCTCAGGTTGCCAGCCACAGCATGTCCTTCCTTTCTTCTAAGATAATATGTGTCTAAGTTCAAACTAGGTGGCATAGACTGTATAAGCCAAATCAGTTAATGAACAGAAGATAGGTGGCTTTGGATCATCAAAGAATTAGCAGAGAAGGTATGATTTCGTTGGAGGGAGAAAAAATAATCTAGCCAATAAAAACCAAATATTGTGTTACTCACAGAGACAAAAGTAACAAGATTGACTGAAAAGATATATCCTGGGTAATGGAGGGAAATTAGGTTGGAGGTGCCTGAAAGTGTAGAAGAGGAACTTGGGCTTGATATGTGGTAGACCATAAAGAACTCATCTCTGTTCTTGAGCATGAAATGACCCAATAGAGGTGGGACTAAGGAAAGATTTATGTATGTTCACCAGGAGAACTGAGTAGAATATACATTTTTCTTATCTTACACTGTATTTTTTTCAGCCAAAGTAGGTTAAACACTCTTATTAGACTAGGTTAGCTTTGGTTGAGCCACAGATACAGCCAGAAATCCCAGTGGCTTAATATATGTCTGTTACTTATTTGTGCTGTATGTCCAACATAGATGGGCTTGGGGTGAGAGTCCTGTAGTTTAATCATTCAAACATCAGGCTAACAAAGGTCCCATCAGGTCCCGAAGATCCCATCAATGCTCGCTGTGGCAGGAAAGGCGTTGGAAGGAACATCCTCGTTGTTCTTTCAAGTTGTTGGCTAGCAGTAGTCATATGGCTCAGTCTCCCAAATGAATGCAGAGGTGTTTTTTTTCCTTGTTTTTGTGTTGTGTTTTTTTGTAAAGATGCTGTACAGAGAAAGGTACATGAATAAGGTAATGAATACATTTCTTGTGGAGCATTGTTACCCCTTCCTTCATTTTTCTCCAACTATCTCTTCCCTCCCTACCTCTGAATGCAGAGTTTTTGATGAACAGTAAATTTACTTGTTTAAGAGAGAAAACGTAATAATTAAAAATGCACATTCAAACTGCCAGGAGTCCAGAGCCTGATTCCTACACTGACTGAGCCTTTGGGCAAGTTACTCACTCACCTTGTCTTGCACAGATAACAGTTTTGTAGTAAGTAAAACTGGAATGATAAAGGAGACTTAGAACTGAGGATGTAGCTCAGCAGTAGAGTGCTTGCCTAGCATACATGAAACCTTGGGTTCCATTCCCAGTCTCATATCAAAGATCAAAAGCCTTGCGAGAACTATTATGAAATTTGAATGAGGCTATATATGTGAAGTGCTTAGAGCACTATGCTATGTAATTGTTAGTAAGTATTATGATTATTGTTATTATTATGAGTATAATCTGCTGCCTTCCTGGTCAGCATTGGAAAGGAGATTTATAGTTTCTAGTGCTAGTTAAAGGGCCCAGAGAGAAGAGGTGGTGGTAACTTAGATGTGTAATGGCCAATATCAAGACTGAGATGATGATAAGGGAAAATGAAGAGATGAGCAAGAGAGGGAAAAACCCAAGCAAGGATTTGTTACCAACTTAACTCCCATGGATGAGAGAAAGATGATTAGTGGTATGTGACAAAATAAAAGAAAGTAATTTTTTCAGGGAAATTAGGGAGCTATGAGGGGAAATGGGCTGAGGACCAGCGAGAGGAAGGTGAGAGGCCCAAGGCACATGAAGCCACAGGAAGTGGAAGCCTGAAGCCAAGCCAACAGGGGAGGAACTAGATCTGGGTCTTGGTGAGCATATTCTGTAGGTGTAGGCATAAACTGTTGTAGTTGGGATGCCATGCTGAGTCAGAAAGTTGGGTTTAAAATCCACTCTATTCTGCATGTGGCCTTTGGTGTCTGGCTTCCTTATCACAGTGGGATGGTGAGCACACCACCCCGCCTTCTTAGGTTGTAATTAAGATGATGTCTGTATAGTACTTGGGAAAGTGGCATATCATAAATGGTGAATAATGTTCATTCTTAGCTTGCTATCGAATTTTTTTAAACTAGGATTTGAATTCAAAATCCTGCTCATGTTAGCCAGGCACCCGACTGCTTGAGCCATGGTCCCAGCCCCATTTATACTTTAGTTATTTTTCAAATGAGGTCTCATGTTTTTTCCCAGGGTCTGCCTCAGAACATGGTCCTTCTATCTATACCTTCCTGTAGCTGGAATCACAAGTTTATGCCACCAAGTCTGGCTGTTGCTTGACATGTGTGAATAGGTGGGGTTCACTTAATTTTTGTTTATAAGATGACCTCAAACCACAGTTCTCCCCATCTCTGCCTCACAATTTGCTGTGGTGAGCCACCACACATGGGATTTTAAAGGAATAGAAATGCAGGGTTTTTCTTTTGAGTGATCAGTTTTTGTAAGTTTAGTGTAAAATTTCTGTTAGCAGCAGTTCTAGTGAATAGCATATTGGTCTTTCCTGGGTTTAAAAACAATGAACCATAGGTCTGGGAAGGTGCCTCGAGTGCATGAGGCCTGGGTTAAAGATTGAAGTGGCACTGTGATTCAAATGGTAGAATGCTAGTCTTGAGCTGAAGAGCTGAGGGACAAGGCCCAGGCTCAGAGTTCAAGCCCCACAACCGACAAAAAAAAAAAAAAAAACAAAATAAAACAATGAGCCATGAAGCTTGACATTGATCGCTCATATCTATAATCTTAGCTACTCAGGATCAGAGTTGGAAACCATCCAGGGTGGAAAAATTTGGGAGACTTATCTCCAGAGGCCCTGAGTTCAAGCACAGGACTGGGACACACACACGCGCGCACACACACACACACACACACACACACACACACACACACACACACACACACACACACACACACCTCTGCTAGCCCATGTCACTTCTAATTCACATGCTTTTCATTTCTTATGCTCCACTTGAATAGTCAGCGAGCAATGAGAAATTGTTTTTAGCTTTGCAGAGAATTAAAGTGGGCTGAAAGTGACCAAAATAGAACATTTAAAAGCTAATTTGAAATTAGCACTTCCATTTTTAAAGTTGAATGCTACCATTTACTAGTTGTTAAGAGCTATTTTCCTGGCCTCTGAAATATGAAATTGTTTTTTTATATGCCTTATCTTCAATTACAGATGCTTTGTGACATTTATGATAGTTCACTTCATTAAGAAATTAAGAATTTAGACATTTTAATAAGGCTTTAGAATACTAGTAATAGTATATAGTAGTAGCTATTCAATATTGGAACTTTGTGTGGGCTAAGGACTGTGCCAGTTTCTATGAACATACAGAAATAAAATCCTGGTTTGTAGCCTAGACAAGTTTATAACCTATCTACCTATTACTGAGTTACGTTTCCTGTTTAATAGTCTGCTGGGGTAAAATGACACAACTAAGCCATCTCAAGCCCTCTGGATCCAGATTCTGTCCTGTCATCTTTATGTCTAAGATAGGAATTAGGGCTGCAGTCCTAATGCTGCCTTTTGTAGACTTAGTATGGCCATTTCTATCTGTTCTTCTGTTCACAGAATTGTGGAAATGAAGATATTAGAGTATATGGACTATAAGGTAGCATTTTGAATTCTTGGATATACCTGATGACATTTCTAGCGTTTCACATGTACTATTCTATACTATCACTGAATAGTCAATACATTTAATGGATTTAAGCTAAATAGCTTTGATAGTTTATTAAAAATTACCAAATGTTCTATTTTAGAAATAAAAACAAAGTTGGGTGCCAGTCTAGCTACACAGTAGGCTGACATCTGTGGATCGAAGTTTAAGGCCATTCTCCAATATACTACTCAAAAAAAGCTGGAAATTGTGCTGTGACTCAAGTGGTAGAGCACTAGCCTTGAGTACAAAGAGGCTCAGGGACAGCACCCAGGCCCTGAGTTCAAACCCCAGTACCAGAAAAAAAAAAAAAAGAGAGAGAGAGAGAGATGATAGAAAAATATAGCTATCTTCCATAGTAACTACGTACTTTCCCAGCCGAGTTTTTGTAGCTCAACTGCTTGTTAGGATACCATATAGTTCACATAGAAAACACACATTTATGATTTTCAGATAGTGTGTTTCATATAAAGTCATTTCCTTTGTTCTGTAATAGAAGTTATTCAGCACTACCTCTGCCTACTGATGAGGAGAAAATGCCAGAAATTTAAAAAAAAATGTGAAACACACCAATAATGCAAGACACTGGAGGAGTGCTCAGGGTCATTTACATAGGATGGGCTGATGAGTGGAATGGGCAGTGAGGGCCTTCAGGAGGAGAGCTAGTAGTTAAATTTCACAAGACTGTGGGCTTAAAAATAATTAGAAGGAGACAGGTTTATAGTTTACTTTTTTTGTTAGTACCTCCTAGTGATTGGTACAAGCATTTATATAGATTTGCAGTAAGGTAAAGGAAGAAGATAGAAAACCTAACAGATTAGAGAATTTCTTTGCAAACTGCTATCATTTTTAGTTTCTCGTTTGAAGGATCCTAAGAACTCACACCATTTATTTTCAGCCTGTCAAGTGCTGTAAGGTAGCATGTTGGCTCATGCATGTGCTGGTCTGCACTCCAGTGCAGAACAGAACAGAGCCTTTAAGAGGCTCTGAATTAAAGACATGTTGCTTCTGGCTTAGAAATGGTATCTTTTTAGAGATCTGACTAAATAACTATCCAGTGCTACCTTGTACAAAATTTAGTATTTGCTTTTTCTTCCTTCCACTGGAAAAAGGTTACAAATGTAGGGACAGACAAGAACTGAGATCCAGACTTCTATCTATGTAGTGCCAAGCTCATCTACTGCATGAGGAATTAGAATATTTACAATTACAATACTATAAACAATATTACAGTGTCTTTAAGGCCAGGTATCCCTTTGTGAATTGTAACATTCTGCAGAGCTAAATTTTTGCACCAACCATTAAGATTATACTTCTGAGCAGCTATCAGGTAGAAGAGGCAGGAGGATCTCAAGTTTGACACCAGCCTAAGCTACCTAATGAGTTTCCAAATTTCCTCAAAACAAACAAACAAACAAGGGGCTGTTTCAAAAATAAATAAACAAGGGTCTGGGAATGTGACTTAGTGATAGAGTGCTTGCCTAGCATGCATGAAACCCTGGGTTTGATTCCTCAGTACCACATAAACAGAAAAAGCCAAGTGGCAGAACGCTAGCCTTGAGCACAGAGAGGCTCAAGGACAGTGTCCAGGCTGAGTTCAAGCCCCAGAATAGGCAAATAAGTAAGTAAGTAAATAAATGAATGAATAAATGAATAAGTAAATAAGGTTTTTCCTTACAGGGTTTAAAAATGAGCAAGGTAGGAATTTTTAAACAAAGGGTATAAAACCTAGTAAAAATTTAAAGTATGATTCATGGTGTAGTATTTTATTAGTTTATCTTCCATTATCGAAATTGGCATCATTGTCAACCAAGATGATGTATTGGGGAAATTTCAAGGGCTGTGTAGAGCAAATTTGAGCTGGCAGACAGATCAATGATATTTAGAAAGGTCATGTTACTCATATTAAGTTATTCGTTTGAAAAAGTATATGTAAAGAATCCTGAGAATTCTTCATTTATAACTTTGCATTGTACTTCCTATCTTATTTAGGAAAGGAGCAACTGCATCCCAATACTCTTTGTAGAAAACTACAGAACCTTGTATCCATACCCATACTGGGAATAAAAAAGAAATGATCGGGCTGGGAAGGTGGCTCAGTGGTAGAGCGCTTGCCTTGCATGCCTGAGGCCCTGGGTTTGATTCCTCAGCACCACACAAGCAAAAAAGCCGGAAGTGGCACTGTGGCTCAAGTGGTAAGAGTGCTAGCCTTGAGCTGAAGAGCTGAGGGACAGCACCCAGGCCCAGAGTTCAGGCCCCACGACCGGACCCAAAAAAAAAAAAAAAAAAAATGATCCTCTAGAGATGCAAGGAAAACTAAGCATATGTGCACATATTTTTATTTGAAATTTTTAACAAGTGGGCTAACCCTCCTCCTCCCAGTAGAGGCCTCCATGTTAAAGGCATTGTCATGTTTCTAACAGTGGCCCTACAACACTGTATGGCTGTTTGGGGCAGAGCTTGATGCTTGCATTGATTGCCCCAGACACTGTGAACATGTGATCATGTATCCCCTTGCTCTCAGCTCTGCCGATTGCTAATTGTTCTCCCCCTGTAACATCTGCTGGAAACAGTGGGCATTGAGGGACATACTCATCATTTATGAGCATTCTGCTCTTTATTCCAAAAGTATCCTATGGAACCATTCTAATTCAGAATAGAACGATGCAAAAATATTACCAAGGAGATAAAACATAAAATTGAAACACAAACCTAAGAAATATATTACCAAAATATATTACATTATTAACATTTTTACACTGGAAATATATAATCTAATTACTTTTCTATTTTGCCACATTATTGACAGCAAATATTAATCATTGAGTTTTTATTAACACAAAGTTTTTCTTTTTACCTTAGAGTTGTTAAGATAACCTCTGTTTTGGAGTATTATTTCATTTATGAAGTAAAACATGCTTAAATTGTTCCCTGGAGATATTATATATATATGCACACATATATATATATATATATATACACACACACATACATATGTGTATGTGTGTGTGTGTGTGTGTGTATCTTCCATGCTGGTAGAGAGGAGAGGACTAATACATGGTGAAAGGCCTACTAATTGAAAGCCAAATCGTCATTTTTCTTTGTAAAGGAGTCCTGCAGAATTCATTGTACAGTTTACTTTGCTATGAAGTCCAAGGTATGGTCCTTTTTATTTTCCATTTGAAGACTTGGAGTGTATCATCATTTGCGACTCTGTCATTTCACGTGAATTTTCATCAGGGGCTGACCTCACAGCACTGGAAATTGATACGCTGACTTGCCGTTTTAGCATCTTCATGACCTTTCTCTTGTAACCTTTACATGCAAAGAAATATATGAAAGGATCCATGCAGCAGTTGAAGTTCATCAGGCAAACTGTAAAGTGAAGAGAAATCTGGAAAGAGTATCTTTGGCTGCATTCTATGACATGAGGAGAGCAAAGCTTCTTAACCATGTGTTGAATAATTGCAACATGGTAAGGTGTGAAGCAGAGAACAAATACAACGATGATAAAGATAATGGTGTTGAGTGCCTTTTTGTTTACACCAGACTTCTCTGTTAATGGGTTCCTTTTAGCAGTTCTAAAAAGTTTGCAACAGATTTGGGAATAGCAGATGAGAATGATTAGGAGTGGTAGCACATATCCCAGGAAACATGCACCCAGCAGAATCCAAGGAAGAGAATCTGTCTCTTCAAAATTGGGATATTCCATGCAAGTAGTCCTTCCAGCTTCTTGCTTTGACATAGGGTTGATGAGTAGTGGGAGCGTTTGAGCAAATACTAGTACCCAGACAAATATGCAAACACCCTTTGCATATTCAATTCTTTTGATCTTGTTGTAACGCAGAGGGTGCACCACAGCAAAGAAACGGTCAATACTTAGGCAGGTCATAAAGTTTACACCTGCATATGTGTTGATGTAGAACACAAGAGCACTTATCCTGCACAAGGCGTCACCTATTTTCCAGTCAAAGCCCAGTGCATAGTAGGCTATCCGAGTGGGCAAAGCAGTGGTAAACAGGATGTCAGAAATCACTAAATTTGTTGAGTAGAGGGTGGTAGAGTTGATTTTTTTCCTGTTTTGAACAATGACAACCAAGGCCAACAAGTTTCCCATCAGCCCAATGATAAAGACAAGGCTGTAATGCACAGGCATTAGTATTCTAGCTGTGTTGTGGTGAGCATAGAGATCACAATAATTTCCCTGATGAGTTGTTGAGGGTATAGTAACATTGTTAGCCATTTCTATGTCCAGCAGTGGAGGTCAAGGTCAGGGTTGCTAGAAAAAAAACAAGAAAGATCTGTTTAGTGAAATGCATATTTAACTCAAAGCAATATACTCTACATTTATATAATCTGTGATGTGTAAAACAGTAACATATAATAATAATTTGGAAGAACAGACAATGCATGGTTTTACTCTCGCAAATAGTGACTTTGGCAGAGTCCTGCCAAAGGAAACAGAACCATTGCAATAAAGCAAATGAGTTTTTATGCCAAGAGGGAACTCAGTTACTTTTTAGGCAGAAATTACCCTTTAACTGAGTTGTATGTTAATAATAAAATGTAAAAGAAAGCCTCCACATTTTAGACAGGTATTAAACTTGGTTTTTAAACTGAAATTTGGTTGGATTTTTTTTTTCCAATGGCTATCACTGCTAGGAAATGAAATCAGCCACTTGTTTATATAGTAAAATGTGACCTTACCACAGTGATCTGATTTGTGTTAACCTAAAAAGTGTGAGAAATAGTCTTAAGCCTATTAGGAACTGAAAGCTAGAGGTTTTTTTCTTTCTTTTTTTTTTTTTTTAACCCATTATGATTTCTTCTCTGTAATACTTTGTTAAAGAGTTCAATGATTTGCACTCAGAAGTTACATAGTCAACCAAGTGTAATACAAAGAATTGGTCTGAAGTCTTTTCAGTCAAGGACATATAGTCTCTTGTTTCAAGGAAATAAGAACAGAACAAAAAGAACATGCAGCTCCCTAGGCTTCAGAAATCTCAATAGAAAACAACATTAAGTTAGTGAAACTGTAGATGTAAACATACGGAAAACAGTTCTTCTGCAGAATATTAAAATTAACACCCAGGATTTGTTTGTATTGATTATTTTCTATAATGTCTGACCTATAGACTTTTCACATGAAAGGGTTTCTAACATGAATTGTTTTGATATTATGAAGCCAAAAAGTTTAAGAATCTCACAGTTGAAACAATCCAACACTAACAAATTCTAGTGATCAAAGACATTCTCTTTTAGTTCATGTAAAACAAGGACAATTCAGAATTACGAAGAGAATGTCCTAGCTGTGGACATGATGAGACAAGCCAATTTTCCAGACCAAAGGCACTCACAGCTAGTGATGAAATGAACTGAACCAAGCTGGCAAAGTTGAGCTAGTTCCCTTATAACAATGGTTATCTACCGTTAAGTTCGTATGGCCCAAGGACAAAGGAAACATTGGGCAGGAAACGTTCCCTTTTCTCTACGCACCACTCATTCAGCCTGGACTGGCCATCCTCATTAATGTTTAGGTAAGCTTGAGGAAGTTCAGTTCCAGTTCAAAGCTGTTCCCTCCCTATGCAAAGCTGCTACTTGGATGAGCCACAAGGTAGTTTTCCTGAGAGCCACCTGCCACATGTTAAGTTTTCTTTTAAAAAGAAGAAAAAGACCACAACAACCACAACTAAACTGAGAAAAAGAAAGGAGAGAGAAAAAAGACTTAAGACTACTTCAAGTGGAGATTTTAAAATTAATTTTAGACTACATCATTCCACAAGTACTCTGTGGGTGGGTGCAGTATGCATTGCACTTGGTAGCAAGCATCCCACCTGTACTGCTCTGTGTTTTGTTTATTTACTGAACATCTACAAGTCAGAATAGTCTGTATATAATTATATAGACAGGCATGTGATAGACATTCTACAGTGTTCCAGTGTATTTACATAGAATTTGAGTTACTACTCCCTCAATGCAAATTTGGATTATTTCCAGTTCTTTTTATTGTAAATAATATTGAGACAAAAAATTCAAGTCCTAAGTTGAAAACTGAAACTCCTATAATAAATTTTTACAACAGAGAGAGAACTTGATGAAAGTAGAAAATAGCAATAAATGTTATGTGACTATTTTTAGAAGGAAACGTATTCCTCTATGGAATTATATGTATAAATATCATGTGAAAATAATAAGAATTAAGAGCAACTTTCAATGTATCCAGTTGCTATATTTTAAAAAAGACTCTATTCCTACCCTGATCTAAAACACTAGCTGCAAATATTCTTTTCTGTCTGCTATTTTAAATGAACTGAGTTTCTGCTAACTTTATTCTTACAGTATTAAAACAGGGAAGCTCACAGATAGTGAGGCTTGACCTGGTGATGTGTGTATTACATATAATGTTGCAGATGAGCACTTACGGTATGCAAATAGAACCCAAAGCAAAAGAGAACAAAAAAATGGAAACATTTTATTATCCAAGAAAAGGTCAGATTGAAGTCTGTGAGTAAAAAGGAAAGAATGAGGATGGTAGATAGAGCACAGAATAAGACAGTAGAAATGTCTCCCCACAAATTTAAATGGATTGAACTTTAAAGGAAAGAGACTCAGAATTTTTTTAAGCTAGTTGTGTGCTGCTAAGAGAATGTAATTCAAAGTCATTTAGAAGGGTTGAAAAAAATCATGGATAAACACATATCAGGCAGATTCCTACTGTGAAAAAGTTAGAATAGCAATCTTAACAGAAAACAATGGAATTCAAGACATATTAAATATTAATAGGAATAAAGAAGGTAACAACGAAAGAAAAGCCTACAAAAACACAAAAATAACCATTAAAAGTACATGATTAGGGGCTGGGAAGGTGGCTCAGTGGTAGAGTGCTTGTCTTGCATTCATAAAGCCCTGGGTTTGATTCCTTAGCACCACATAAGCAGAAAAAGCTGGAAGTGGCACTGTGGCTCTAGTGGTAGAGTGCTAGCCTTGAGCTGAAGAACTCAGAGTCAACACCCAGGCCCAGAGTTCAGGCCCCATGACTGACCAAAAAAAAAAAAAGTTCATGATTAAATATCAAAATTAGTTGACAAATTTGTGCTAGAAAATTTGATATTTAAAGAAGAATTTGGCAAAGTAACATAGGTCCCATGGTTTCCCTTATTTGCAATATCTAGTATATGTCTGAATCAAGCAGAAAAGGTCAGATAAGGTGATGTTAGGGAAATGAACCCTAAGAGATGTATTCAAATGTTTTTTTTTTCTTTCATGCGATTGTTTCTAACACATTTATAAGATTATTTCTTTGTTGCTTTGTATGTCCCTCCCCCACAGAATAACATACCCTGCTTTCACTGTATTTGATGTCGGTATAATTTGTGGAGGGGAAGGGGAAAAACAAATCGTTTAAATAGGGATACAGGTGGACCCATTGCAACAATGAAAAGTACAAGTCCTTATGTTGAAAACGAACTTTACACTTTGGTGGGGGGGGGGGGAGGATTATGGGGGTGGGGGGGGTGGGAAGGGGAAACAAAGGAGGAGGCTACAGTGCTTGATAAGAAATGTACTCATTATCTTGCCCATGTAATTGTAACCCCTCTGTACAGTATTTTCACAATAAAAAAAAAAGAGAGAAAAAAGAATTTGGTAAATTAGTTACAGTGGCAGATGTGCATTTCTATTACAATATACTAGATTTTAAAAAGAGATAAAAACCTTAAAACATTTACCCAACTTGATTTAAAAGTTTACAGAATATGTCTACAAATTTGATTTTTAGTAAGAAGAGTATCAAGACATTCAGAAAGACACTGAATGGATTACATGGCCTAGATTCAGTGCAACTAAGAAACCAATCAATGATAAAAAGATAAAAAGAAGTATTTGGAAAATACAATGCATGGTTCTAAGGAACTTAAGAAGAAATCACAGTAAAAATTTTGAAATACTTACAACTAAATAAGAAAAGGAAAGATTTAAAATAGAAACATTAAATACACAGCTCAAGAAGTTGGAAAAGAACTGCATTTGTCCAAATAAAATAGAAAAATATAATAAAGGCAACTATGGAAATTGGTGAAACAGAAGTTATGTAAATAGTAAATATGGGCTTTATATTTTGCACAGAAAAAATGGAAGTAGGAAATCATGGGAATCACATGATGGAGTAAAAGTAAAATAAAAGGTATCTTCATTTACTGAGAAAGACTTGCTGTGAGAATCAACTATTCAGGAGTCAAAACTAGACATGAAACGCGGGTGCTGGTAGCTCATGCCTGTAATCCTAGCTACTCAGGAGGCTGAGATCTGAGGATCGTGGTTGGAAGCAAACCCAGGCAGAAAAGTCCATGAGACTCTTAACCTCCGATAAACTACTCATAAAAAGTCAGAAGGGGTGCCGTGGCTCAAGTAGTAGAGCGCTAGCCTTGAGCACAAAATAGCTCAGGGAACAGAACCCACGCTCTGAGTTCAAGACCCAGGATGGGGAGGGGGAGGGATGGGGCCCTGCAGGGGAAATAATTATACTTTCCTCATAATGTTTTAGTGAAAAGAGGTACTTGGTCCCTATATTATCCTTGTGTTCCACACCCTAAGGGGCTGGAATCTAGAAGGTGACCTTTTCTGTAAGGGCATATTTAGTAACTGGGAGGCAAGAAATCAGGTACTTATTCAGGTTTGACCTGAGGAACAGCTCTGGCTGGCCTCCAGAAGACCTGTTCCTCCTGAAAATGAACTTCCTAGAAGTAATCTGTACCATTTTCTTAGTTTATTGATAAGTAAAGGAGATCCTTTTTACATCTCTGTTAATGTGTAAAGCAATTCATTTCTTCCTCAGTAAAATATCTTACAAAGTATTTTTTCTTATGTTCTTTTATTTTCAGTTTCTTTAAGTAGTTGTGCAAAATAGTTTCAATTTAACATCCTTGTGTTCATGAAAGTAGGTCTGTATTTGTGTTTCTACAAATTTTATTCATTACTAATAGAGTTACTCACATGTCTTAAGATTTCTAACTTTTGAGTAACCGGACGTGTTGACATGAACTGGCAGGTTTTTTTCTAGCCACAGAGAAAAAAAAATAAAGGATACCCCCCCCAAAAAAAAACCCATCTATCAGTATTTAAGAAAATTATCTTAAAGCTCCATTGTGAAAACATTTAACCTCAGAACCAACTTGAAAGCACATGACTTTTCAAAGGGTACCCATAACTTCTACTATCCTAATTTACTTGCTGGGATAATTAAAGTGTTCTTTTTGCAATTTACGGCAGAAACAGAACAAA